TATATGGATAAAAGAAAGGACTTTACTTACAACTTGCAGTACTATGGGGACTACCCACAGATGGTAAAGGAGTTTCAACAGAAGGGGTTGAAGTATGTCATGATTGTGGTGAGAAGAAACAAATTATCCAAATTTCAAATGTTTTGACTATTGATTTTACTTGTATTAAGAATGAGAATTTTCATGTTTGCTGAAGGTCAGTGTTTTAAAGTAGATATAAATGTTAAATTTATTCCAAGTCTACTCTTTCCCACATTCCCCTATCTAGTTTCATCTATCTGTGCTTAGTGGAAGGATTAGGATGTTCCAATCTAGAGTTAATGTGCATTTCTTGTGGTGTTGGGTAAATTATCATCCATATTTACAGAAAGTTAGTGTGGAAAATGGACTATAGTGATCAAAGCATGTGATATATAAAGGCATTTGTGAAATTTATTAGCATTATGAAGCTCTCTATAGCCATCAAAATACAGGCAAGAAGGTGAATAGTTCTGAACAGGTCTGAACAGCTTTGCATGCTCCTTGGCAAAAAGATGAGTTTTTGTCCAAGCTAGGGTAATTTTCTCAAACTGTGCATGTATTGCTGAGTTGTGTATAAAACTTTTTGCAATGAGAAAATTCAGTTTAACATCTTTCTGTTTTGAATATCTGCTATTAATGATATAATGCATGAGGTGTAGGAAATTTGGAATGTAAACTGTTGTTGATTCTTCAGTAAAGACAAGGACTACCTTATGATTTCTTGGCCTCAATGTTGTGAGGTATTGATATCTGGTAACTGCAGGATGTGAGATTTATGAGCACAATGTATGACCGGTAGGAAATCATTTTGAAAAACATAAGTTTTTCAAGTGAGCATTTTCCAGTATTTTTCAGAATAGAATACGGATAGCGTTTTGTGGTAAAACTGTTAGGCTCCTGTTTCCCTCAATGCACAATATATTTGCTTTTGTTTATGCCAACTCTTGTTGGAATACAATTCATTGGGTGTCAGCTGTTGTCTAGTAGATTACTAAATGGCAGCTTTGCTGTGTAAGCCAAGAAATGTTATATTGACAAATTTTACAGCTAAATGGCAGACAATCTCAATTTTGTCCAGTATCAACACATGTTCAGCTTGTTAATGCTACTTGCTTGTCACCTTCTTATGAGTTGAGCATCTGCATTGAGTGTCTCCAACTCCAATTCCCTTAAGACCTAAAAAGCTCGCTCTTTGCTTTCTACTGTAGGATCCAGGAATCAGCAGTACACAGGCAGCAGGGACGTACAAGCCGTATGATGATGGTGTGAAGAGAGGTGTTTTCATTAAAAATGAAACTGGCCAACCATTGATCGGAAAGGTCAGTGCAGCAATGAGGAGCTTTTGATTTTGCATTCAATTTTTTTCACTTTCTAAGTTACAAGTGGCAGCAACATTATTCTACCAAAGCACTTTTATGTGAAGAAATGAAAAAGGTTGTTAAACTTTTAAGCAACAAAAAAAAAGTACTTTTAGATTTAAGGGTTTCGTAAGTATCAACGACAAACTCACAAGTCAGTCACAGGACAGCAGCAATTTCCAAAACACTTTCTTCATTCATGAGCAAAGACCGTTGATGTCAAATTCTGCTAATGCAATTACTGCACATGCTTGTAAGTGTAATTTCATTAGTGCGGCAGTGTGTACTATCTACAAGATGCATTGCAGAAATTCACCAAAGCTCCTCAGACAGCACCTTCCAAACCCATGACCACTTCCATCTAGAAGGACAAAGGGAGCAGATACATGGGAACACCACCACCTGCAAGTTCCCCTCCAAGCCACTTACCATCCTGACTTGGAAATATATTGCCGTTCCTTCACTGTCGCTGGGTCAAAATCCTGGAATTCCCTCCCTAATAGCATTGTGGGTCAACCCACAGCAGGAGGACTGCAACGGTTCAAGAAGACAGCTCACCACCACCTTCTCAAGGGCAACGTGGGATGGGCAAGATATACTGGCCAGCCAGCAACGGCCACGTACCACAAATTAATAGAAAAAAGGATGCTGCTACTAATAGTTGATTGTGTAGTCAGTATATTGTGAAGCTAGATTAGAATGACCATCTAACTAGTTAATCAATACTTTTGTACAACACACGCCATAAAGCATGAGTTGGAGATGTATGCCTTAAAATCTTATCCTATTTAAGCCATAAGGGGATGTCCGCATAAGCATCAGAGTTGCAGAAAAATCTCAAGTGGAACCAAATTAGAAAATTAGACATTGTGAACTTCTCAAGTGAGGGGTCAGGAATAAGAAGCCTAAAGTTTAGTTTCGGTTAGAAAACAATGAGAAGTGGGTACTGCTGACATCAATGTCAAGAGGTCCGATGCAGTATAAATCTCCCCAGTACTGTTACAGATATATGCCTCAGCCACAGTCTCAGTTGAACACAACTTTTTAATGTAACATTTTCTTTAGAAATTTTCAAACTATCCTTGTGCCGTTTCTCAATAAAATCAAAAATGGCACTGCATTGAAATCAATTACCACAACATGCTAGCATAAGTCTTTCCAAAGTCATTGCTCATTGTAACTGACAGGATTTGAATTCCTACCACCCAGTCTGTTCAAGCAGATTTAAATTGTTCTGGTCTATTTTGTTTAGGTTTGGCCTGGTCCAACTGCTTTCCCAGATTTTACAAACCCAGAGACCCATGACTGGTGGTACAAAAATGTTAAGGAGTTTCATGATAAAGTGCCCTTTGATGGGATGTGGATCGTAAGTATGCAAACTAAACTCCAAAAATTCTGTCTTGCAGTGAATTGATTTGGTAAAGCAGTGAAAGAAGATGACCTAGATGTACATTGGATAGCTACTCTATAACTCTGGAGTGTATGCTACAAATACATCCAGGGTTTTGCTTTCATCTGTCCATGCATAAGTGGCACTGGTGGATTTTGGTGTTCATTTAAGTTATGTAACATCTTCACACTAAAGTTCAGGGAAAGCCATCACTTACCTGAGTTACAATTAATTGGATAATAATTGAAAATTGGAAATATTTTTATTTGTGTAGCATTTGTGTTTGCTGTACAAAATCGTGCCTCAGCAGATCAAACTTAATTTGGAGTTTGGAGGTTTCTGATATGAGGATTTAAAAAATGAACGAACTGCTCTGAGTGGGATGGAACTCGTAATGAAAGATTTTCATCATTTTCATCTCCGAGGAAGTGCAGAAAAAATGTTTGAGAGTTGCTTCAACTCAATCATTGTCAGATTTTAAGTGTTAGATGTAGCTCAACGATGGACAATGTTGACTTGGCATTCCACTCTGCGCCACCTAGAGGTGGTGTGTATGCAGTTCAAAGACTTGTTACCTCATTCAAAACACATGCTTCATTTAACATTGCATTCTTCAAAGTATTTGATAGTTCAGTAGTTCTAGCACTAGTTTGGTGTTTGAGTAATTCTAAAAAGATATTTCTGATGAAACTTTGTGCCTTCCACTCATCAGAACAATTTACAAGAATAGCAATTTTTAGGGAAAAAATGTTATACTGCATGAGAGGCAAATGCTGATCACTTGGCCCATGGACTCTGGTAGAGGTATTTGCATGAAGCATGCACCCATTAGTGCTGATTCACGGTTAACTCCAAGTTTTGTTTAAATTTTAAACCAGGCAGGTTGATTCTGGCCAGCACATTGGCCTGTTCTCCTGTTTGTTTTGCAAGTGCAAGCTGGTTTGGTACGGTCAGTATCTTATTTGTTGCAAAAGTCCGAGTGGATATGCTTTGTGATACAATCCACAAATGTTTAGGGCGTATGACCTAATAACTGGCATCATGTCAGCACTGAAATTTAGTGATGTTTGTGTTAGGCAGAACATCTTTTAGCTTGATTGTAGCATCTTGTTAGTGGTAAATACTACTCTTGGTAGCAGCATGAAACAGCTGGCTTCACCTGTTGCTCAATCTTTCAAGATACCTTCCCCTTTGCAGGGTCTTCTGAAATAGATTGGATACTTTTCAGGGCAAAGAGTGACTGCCTTGGGGGCATTTCCTTAGTTTGTAAAATATACAGTGAGAAACGTTCTGATCAGGGTAGCTGATATCCAACAGGCTGGCTTTGTGTCCGATTTCAGCATCAGCTTTGCACAATGAAAAGTGGTTCAGCCCTGCTTACGAGCTTGCTGATCAAGCCAATCTTATAGCAATTGGAACAGCACTTGCATGTAAAGATTCAAAAAAATGTTTTTTTTTAAACTTTGGCAGTAATCAGCTTCTCGCCCAACAAACAATTTTCTATTTAATTTACAATGCAACTTACTGGTTAATGGAAAATATTAATTTAGGAAATGACTTTGAATTATTGAGCCCAACTGCATAAATGCAGCAAAGTAGGAATGGATGTACATTACTGAAAAACTTAGGATATGCAACCAGTCCTGTATGTCAGTTAACCAAACTCTGCCCCATTACCTATACAGCCAGAGAGAAATGTAATATTGGTGTTGAATGGTACCTTTTTGGAAAAATGAACGTTTTTTTCTTTCAGAAACAAGCCGTGCTTTTGTACATAAAATGAGACTGCTTTTGCCACGGTTGTGGTTTGAACGCTGCCCTTTCTACAAGGCCATTCCAGTTTTTTTTCATCTAGACACAGCTAAATCTGATCAGATGGTGAAAAACAATGAATTGAATAATATTTTGTTGAACTGACTGATTTATATATTCAATTTAGAAAATCAGCACCTATTGAAGTCTCTCAGAACAATCAGTTTGTGTGTAATGCACAAATTGAAGTGAAGTTTGGACTCCAGAAGGAAGGCAAATGAAACATTCAAGACAAAGATTTGCTGGATAAAGCAATGAACCTTTTTAAGCTAGCGTTAGTATTAAATAAAAATTAAGCTGTTTGTTTCACAGGATATGAATGAACCATCCAACTTTGTTACTGGAGCAATAAGTGGTTGTCCAAACAACAATTTAGAATATCCTCCTTATGTACCAGGTAAGAGCTAATTTTATTACCAAAAGCAAGATGTGTGTTTCAGCCTCCTCATTCTAAGCCTTTTTGTCATTTCTTTATAATATTTAATTTCACAGTGTTTTTTTCCTTTTTGTATCCGTGGTGGCTTTGTGGCTTTTACAGTGTTTTGCTTCGTCTCTGACTCATGCAGCAAAGAACTTTATCAACTTGTTACAGAAATGCCTGCTTGTCTGTTCCAGGTGTGACTGGCGGCAGTCTGACGTCCCGGACTGTGTGTATGTCTGGAGAGCAGCATTTGTCATCACATTATAACCTCCACAACCTATATGGGTTGACTGAGGCCATTGCTTCCCACGAGTGAGTGACAATTGAAACAACAATGGGTTAATTTTATTAGATATGGATGCAGTGCTCTATAGAGCAAGCCAAAACTTTAAGAACACTATGCAGAACACAGTATAGTTTTTTAAAAGCATTTTGGATTGAGTTCCATGTTGCTGGCTGGTTTGTTCTACAGTTGTGTGAACAAATGGCTATTCTTTGAGCTTTCTAGATGCATGCTTTCACGCTAACCACTATGAAAGGCCTGCTCCTACCCACCTCAAGAGACCCATTGATGTACACACCACCATGACTCATTAATCAATATATCTTTCACCTTTCATCCTGGTGCCTAGTAATTCTATAATATTTCCTGTCTGCTTCTGGTTTACATACTGAAGTGACAATGCTCCAAATTGAAGTTAAGGCCCCACAAGGGGAAAGAGGGAACACCAGAGCCAATAGAACTTAGAGCCTAAATAGGATGAATTATTTTTTTAACGGCAAAGTTAGTATTAGTCCCAGAGGGCCATAACGAGCATACTCCTGAAAGACAGATCACTGGTGGTGAGTTTAACCTGAGGATCAAGTCTTGGGCAAGGTTGAAAAGGCAGGGATTTTACATGGTGAGCTCAGCCAGGACGTGCATTGAGCCTTTTGGCATCGTTCTGCATCACACTCCAAGCATCCAGCCAACTGAGCTGAGGTTTAGAGCGGATGTCAGTAAATATGTTTTCACCCAGAGGGTGGTAGGAAACTACCTATAGAGACAAAAACCCTTGTAACATTTAAGAAATATTTAGATGTAAACTAGTGATGCCAAGGCATAAGGCTATGGGCCAAGTGCTGGAAAATGAGATTAGAATAGTCAGGTGGTGGTTTTTGACTGGCACAGACGCAATGGGCTGACTCTGATTCCCAGGAGCGGCAGAGTGATGTCAGTCACAACCAAGAGTGTTATGTGTCACCTATCATTATACAAAGTTAGTTAATGAACTGGCTTGTGAAACTTCTCTTTTAAAATAGTTTTGGTACATTATTGAAGAGGAAAGCACGAGAACAATTTCATTTTAAAGTAAATATCATTTGAAAGAAATAGGCTGTAAATTGGCAGTTGTCAATTGACACACGTTTTAAGTCACCGTTTATTTAACATTAGCTTCTTCTTTACGTCTAGTGCTCTGATCAAGGTGACAGGAAAACGTCCATTTGTGATATCGCGGTCCACGTTCCCCAGTCATGGTCGTTATGCTGGACACTGGACTGGGGACATCTCAAGTGCTTGGAATGACATGTATTATACTATCCCAGGTATGGAAATAAACCAGTTTTGGCACCAACCTGAAACATTGTCCCTACTTTCTGTAGAGGTTTCCTGATCAGCTGATGTTTCCATAACCTTGGTTTTATTTATGGAGTTGTCCTTTTTGAAAGGTGTAACTGTTAGACTAAAGTTTCATGTCCCAGTAGCTGTTTTGCTGGCATCGGCCAAGATTCATTTGGTAGCATCTTTGGTCCTTCATCAGCAGGTTTTGGATTGAAGTTCCCCTTCCAAAATTGAACATTTAAAAAAAAGGCTCCAGTGCATTACTGAGGGAGTGCCATGCCGTCAGAGATCCATCTTTTGGACTGGATAAATCATGCCCCATTTTCGCTTTCTGTTGGATGTAAAAGTTGCCACCATTTCAAAGAAGAACAGGAATTATTCTTAATATCCTGATTAATATTTGTTATTTGATTACCATCCCAAAAACAGATTACAATGTTGTCTTTGACCAGACAAAGTAGAGTAGTAATGGCAGAGCCATTAAACAAATACTTGGTGTTGAACAAAGATAGAGACAAGAAAAATTGCAGAAATAGTGGGGAAGCAAGGGTCAAGTCAAAATAAGCTTAAATAAGTCCGTATCAGTAAAGAAAGAATATAGAGAAATTAATGGGATTAAAGACAACTAATAGCCTAAACCTGAACCTATGTCCCCTGGCATTAAGAATGAATGCAGAGAGTGAGTGCATTGGTTTTGATTTTCCTGCATTACTGAAATTTTAGAATGGTCACACAGATTATAAAGTTACAAACTTAGTACCACTCCTTTATATTGTTACGAAGGGGTGTTGAAATAAAATGAACTCCTAACAGTCGCTCTTTACTCAACAAGTAACAATTTATTTTTTCTAACTCTAACAGTTAACAAATTAACAGAACTACTAACAAACCAAACAATTCCACCTTAACTACTAACTATTCCCAAATAAAGCAAAATTCTAATGGTATGCTGTTCCAATAAATATAAATCCCAGTTATATAAACCAAAATAATAATAAAAGAAATTAAGACTTAATCCCTCAAAATTACAGCCAGGATGTGTCTTCCCAAATGTTCTGCGCCCTCTACGCTGATCCCCTGCCAGGAATGCCTTTCTCAAATTCTGGTGTCCGAAAAGCCTCTCTCTGTCAAATTCTGCTGTCAAGAATATTTGCTAAGAGTGCTGTTGTACTTTTAATTAGATGGTTTTTTTCCCTGAGAGCTTATAGAATTCTGAGAGCCAGTGTTTCTGTTTAGAGCTGATAGGTTGTTACCTCTCTTAGATGGCAGTTGCTCTCTCTCCGATTTTTCAAATGCCCTCTTCTTTTATACCCTTGATGACTTATTAATTTCTTCCAATAGGATTGGTCCGAGATTGTCAAAGCCATCAAATTTAAATTTAATTAGGCTTTGGTATCTAGAGCCTGGTTTAAATTAATTGGCTAAATTTAAAAACCTGTGGTCGTGGTAAAAATATTGCTTTGCCTGCTTAACAGTGTAGCCTTTTGATACAATGTTTCAATTTCAAGAACACTCTGCATCGGCTGCAGCGTGCAGACAGTTATCTTTTAAAGGGACCACACACATTTCCCCCCTATCATTTTACAAACACATTCTAACAACCTGCCTTCCAGTCCACAAGTACTATACCAGCTTCGCAACAATATTAAAAACAAAGGAGGGAGAAAATAGAGATTTGTAGACCTGTTGGGTTGACAACAGTGGAAAAGACAAGCTGCAAACTATTATCAAGGACCACGTACAGTGGTAACTTAAGAAAATTGCAACATGATTGGCTTGAACAGTCATGCCTTATGGAATAAAAATTGTTTTTCAGATCTGGAGAATTTTTTTTGAAGAACTAACTAGCATGGTCAATGAAGAGGGACATATAAATGGAGTGTATCTGAATTTTCAATAAGTATTTGAGTTATTACACAAAACAATATGGCTCAAGAACATGGACTGAACAGATGGGAACAAATAAGGGTGAACAGATTATTTTTAGATTTTTTTTATTCATTTGTGGGATGTGGATGTTGCTGGCTGGCCAGCATTTCTTGCCTATCCCTAGTTGCCCTTGAGAAGGTGGTGGTGAGCTGCCTTCTTGAAGCACTGCAGTCCACCTGCTGGGTTGACCCACAATGCCATTAGGGAGGGACTTCCAGCATTTTGACCAAACGACAGTGGAGGAACAGTGACATATTTCGAAGTCAGGATGGTAAGTGGCTTGGGGGGAAACTTCCAAGTGGTGGTGTTCCCATATGTCTGCTGCCCTTGTCCTTCTAGATGGAAGTGGTCGTGGGTTTGGAAGGTGCTGTTTGAGGATCTTTGACAGGCTACAAGTCTGCAAGAATCAGTGCTTGAATCTCCGCTATAAACAATCCATATTACTGACCTGGATGAGTGCAGTAGTGCAAAGAAGCTGAAAAGGAACAAAGACAGGCTAAGTAAGTGGATTGGAATTTGCAAATTAATTTTAGAGGAGAAGCATGAAGTTATACATTTTGCTAGATCACATTCCAAAACAATAATTTTTAATTGTGACTGGGAAATGTTGGTACTAAGAGGAACTTGGGTACCTTGTTTGTGAATCATTGAAGATTAATATGCAGATAATTAAAATAACATTTTAGCCTTTATTACAATTAGAGTAAAGAAGTCTTAACAAAGTCCTGTATAATTGCTGGATCTGAAATATTGTGCTCGAAAGATTGTGAATCTTTGAAAATTTCTCCCCTATATGGCTATGGATGTCAAACTATTGAGTATAATCCAGACCAATAGATTTTGGGTTCTAAGGAAATTGAAGAATAGTGGCATAATGTGAGAAGATGAAAAAGGAGATTAGCTGTGACTTATTGAATGATTGCGCAAGCTTGAAAGGTGAGTGAGATACTTCTCACTCATATTATAATGAACACCATTATAGTATGTGATTAGTCAACCAATTTCTTTCTCTCTAAAAGAGAAGCAATAGAGAGTTTGGAGAAAAATCCTTCTCTCAGTTTTGAAATGGTTTTACTTTATCAATGTTGAACAGTAAGATTTCAAATACATCTTTTTAATGTATTATTTATGAAAACATAGTCATATTTAAACTATCCTGAGCTGCACAGATATTTCAGTCAGTTGAAAGATCCAAAACAAAGTCTTTTCAACACAGGTTAAATGAATCCCAAGGGGAAACGTTTGTACAGTAGCCAAATATAGGATGTACCCCTTATTCATGATGTTGATCTTTTTTGCTTTCTTCCGTATGGATGTTTTCTTTAGAAACTATGAACCAAGCAACTTCCTTGTCTGACTGAAGTGTGCAGCTGCTCACAGCCACTGCCTGAGCTACTGAATGTCAACAACGTGAATGAGCATGACAGAAGTGCCACATGGTTCTCATTTTTTTTCCTTTAATTCCTCTGCCTTATCATATTTCCACTTTTGAGAACTAAATATATAAACCCATGTGCAATTACATACAAGTTAACATGCTGTTAGTATGATAGCAATACAGAACAAAGCTTTCATAGATTTTTATGTTTTGGCAATCTGTTATATAATCAAAATGTCAGATACCAATTGTGAAAAGGTGAAAATCTACATTTAATCTTGTATACTTTGCAGCAATAATGCTGTTTAACATGTTCGGGGTTCCTCTTGTTGGAGCGGATGTCTGTGGTTTCCGTTGGCCCACCACTGAAGAACTCTGTGTGCGTTGGACGCAACTTGGATCATTCTACCCATTTATGCGGAATCACAATGCCCTGCATCAGCCGGTTAGTTCTTGAGAGGACAATGAACATTCAAGTTGGCTTAGAGTCCAATTTTGGTTAATTGTTTCAAAGCATGGAATACATTATATTTAAAATGCAGTATGTTGTTGAAAGATTCATTACTGTTTGGTAATAGAGTATCTGAAAAAACTTTCAGACAGTTATCTGTGGCCTTAATGCTGGAAAAGAACATTCCCTGTGATGTAAAGGCTCACCATTTATTATCCTTCAATTTTTAACGTTTGTTAAACTCTAATCATTTTGTATGAAAACAGTAAACAATAGAGAATACAAACTTGGAGGAGTAGGCTAGTTCAGTTTCTTAAACCTGCTCTGCCATTCAATAAAACCATGACTGATCTGAATATTCAACATTTCTGCCTACCTCTAATAGCCTTTTATCCACTTGTATATCAAATACCTGTTCGCTTCTGCCTTGAAAAATATTCAAAGACTCTGTTTCTGCTACCTTTTGTGGAAGAGCATTCCAAAGACAGGAAAAAATTCTTCCATTTCTATGTTTTAATGGGCAACCCTTTTATTTTTAATCAGTGGTACCTAGGTCTATTTTTAATCAGTGGTCTCCATTTCCACCCTGTCAAGACACTGTTATCTCTTTTCTTCCTATCCTTGTTTCTGAGGGTTAGACCATGAATTGCCATTAGATTGGTCCATGCTTGTTGGCAAAGTACTCCAGTGGTTTTCCACTGTCTTCCACAGGATATCTCACCAGGAAATGTCTACTCTTGGTGCCTGCCATCAGGCTTGTTGGGAACAGTTTTACAGGCTGATAATTAACCAGTTGGGCCTTAATATGCACATTGCTTCTGTGGCCAAAAATCATGGCATGCAATTCAAACATTTTTCATTCAAACAACTAATTAGTACCGTTTGAGGTTGAGAAGCTTTAGTTTCTGCAATATTCTTCATGAAGACCTATCACTATCCAGGAAATTTCCTCGCTTCAGTCAATACAGTACCATGACTGGAGACATTACTTCTTACAAAGCCAATCAAATTCAGGATTCTTTCTCTTTGACGTAAAGATGTTAGTCTCCTTGTCCTTGTTGACCTGTCTTTTCAATGGACACAGTTTAGCAGACCAACCTCCTCCAATATCTCCAGTGTCATCCACCTTCAGTAGCATTGCACTGCTACCTAAATGTAGTCAGAATCTTTCTTGTAATTCTTTCTTGGGATGTGGATGTGGGCAAGGCTAGTATTTGTTGCCCACCCCCAATTACTCTTGAATTGAGTGACTGGCTCAGATGGTTTAGCAGGCTGCTGATTCAACAACATTGCTGCAAATCTGAAGTGGTGCATAGACTAGTGAAGGAAATCTAATCTCCTTCCTTAAGAGCATTAATGAACCAATGAGTATTATGGTTGCCATTACTGAGATTAACTTTGAAGTCTGGTTGTATAAATTAACTAAATTGAGCTTAAATTCCACTGACTGCCATGATGGGAATTGAACACGTGTACCCAAAACATTACATTGGGCCTGTGAATTACTAGTCAAGTGGCATTATCCCTATGCCACCATCACCCCTTCCATTAGCTTCTCTTGTTCCTGCATCATTATCTCTGTGCACTGATACCCAATTCTGCCTCACTACCGGCTCTCTCGATTCTTCCACTGCTGCTGAAGGCTGCTTATTTGACATCCAGGTATTAATTGCGCAGACATCTTCTCCAATTAAATATTTGGAAGATTGAAGCCATTGTCTTCAATCCACACTCCAACTGCCCTTCCCTAGCTACCGACATCATCCCTCTCCCTAGCAACTGTCTAAGACTAATTGGACCCTTGACAGGCTTGACACATTTGGTCCTATGATGAGATTGCCACCACATAGATAACCTGCCATTTCTCAGACTACCTATTTCCAACACTAACGTCACCAGATGTTATTGCCAAGAGAATACCATTCGGCACCTGAAGCCTGTTCCAACATGCAGTTTGATTGTGGCTGATTTGAAGAAGTTGAAGTCTTTTTTACACACCTTTCCTTCCTGAACCTTCATGCTCCAACAAAAGTCTGTTGATTTGATCTTTAACTTTTGGCATTATCCTTTCAAAGGAGCAAGTTCCAGATTTCCACTAAAACAATCTACAAAAACATATGCCACATCTCAGCTTATTGCCTTTGTTAATGCTAGTCTTGACTTTTGAAAACATTTCTGGCTGCTTCCCATAATCCATTCTCCATTAACTTGAAGTCACCTGCGTCCTTACATGTGCTAAGATCTGTTCGCTCATAATCCTTCTGTTGTCTAAGGTGAATTGACAGCCAAGTAATGTCTTGATTTTCAAATTCTCATTTTCCAATTCCTCCATATTGTCACGCCTCTCTAAATCATGTTTCTCTCACACTCATGATACCTGGGGCTCAGCTTTCAGACTTTTAGTAAACCCTGCTTTTAATTGCTGCTTCATTGCAGGATATCCTTTCAAGATATTAAGCTCTATAGTTCCCTCATTAAAACTCCCCGCCTCGCAATCTTTCTTTTCTCCCGATTAAAGTGCTCCTTAAAATCCACATCCTTGGCTAAGCTTGGAGTTATCTGCCCTAATATCACAGTCAGGTCTTATTTGGTAACATTTCTGTCAGACACTTTGGGACTATATGGACATAATTTGGGGCAGGAGCCCAGGATGCATGAGACAAGAAGAATTGGTGCTTGCATCTAAATTTTACACAAGTGTTCTGCTTTTAAAATGTGACTTGGTTTCAATATTACATGTTGTTAAAAGCAGACTGACATTTAAGGTGGAACACATAGCGAGGATTGATGTCTCTCAGCCTGCTACACCATCTAAAGAAAAATATGGAGAAAATTGAGGTCTTAAGAAGGAAACACTCTTGTTTACTGATCAGAGTATATTACCTAGATAATTTGTGGCAGTGTTTATTTCTCAGGAGCTGAATGTACCCTTAATTCTCCAGTAAGGCAGGTAGGAATCACTCTCATTGTATGCCAAGCACATCAGCCAGCACCATCCTGGCATAAGAAAACAAGTACATCTTGATAAATTTGCTGTCCTGGTGAACTCTAAGAATTTGCCTCTGATTTGTTTATGTGCTGTGAAACCTGTACATTGAGATCGGTTCTGTGAGAATTTGCACGTGGGTGCCCCACTGCACGTCCATAGCTTATTGGTTAGGTGGTATTGAGACACAAGGTCCAATATTAGGTCTGTTCATTCAAGTTCAGGGCTCATTCCCTGTGTTTCCATGTTTTGCGTAGTTAAGTATCTATCGTTTAATTTGATTACTATTTATAAAGGAAGAACTTTTATTTTGTTTTGCAGCCTCAGGAACCATATGTTTTCAGTGAATCAGCACAATCAGCAATGCGGAAAGCCCTCTTCAATAGATATATGCTGCTGCCTTTCCTCTACACGCTCTTCCATAAAGCCCACACTGCTGGAGAAATGGTTGTTCGGCCACTGTCATTTGAGTATGTTATCTTTTTAGCACTGTTTGAAATGAAGTTTGAAAATACTATTCTTACCTGAAGACAGATCAAAACTAGCTTTGATTTTTTTTCATTTATGCCTAAAGAGTTTTATTTCTGGTAATCCAATTACATTTTAAATTGAAACTCCTAAATGTTTGGCACAATTAAACTTTAGGTGATCATAACTTTAATGTTTGTTTTGCTGTTCAGGTTACTTCTAAAGCATTGTCAAATTTAAGTTTTCACATCCTTGTCTGATAATGTATCTTAATTGGATCAAGATTATCAGCAAGGGAATATTTGTCCAGTTCTGATCACCCACCTTTCACCTGACTAATGACATTGCAACCTGCACAAAAGATTATTAGCAAATGAGGGAGCAGGGAATCTTTAGGGACCTTGTGCCTTTGTTGATAACTAATTGGGAGATAGGTTTCAGAGGATATAAATATTAGTCTTGTTTAAGGATAGCGATTACTCCTTGGGCTCTGGTTTTTCATTGTATGTGCCATTGACTTCGACAGAGTAGAATTTTATATCCAAGTTTGCAGATGACATTAAATTAAGATGTGAAATAACTCCACAGAGGTCGGTATCCTGTCACCAAGTCACCCTTTATTTATACATGGAGAGTCCTTGACACTGATCCAGCTTCCTCAGCCAGCTGTGAGTGAACAGAACTTCCAATACTCCTGTTTATATTTGTCAGCCAGCGCTCCCTGATTGGGGCTGTTAATCTGGTCCAGTCAGGGAACTCCTATGTTATGAGGTCTACCTGGCTGACCTCAATGCAATCACTTTAGTATACTCAATAAATATTATGTTAGAATGAAAAATAAAGGGACATAGGTGAAGGGAGTGGGCAAAATTGTGGCAGATGGAATTTGATGTGAAGAAGTGAGTATTTATTCATTTTGGATCAGAGACTGACAAATTGGAGTATATTCTCAGTGAAAGAGATGAGGAGCCATGAGATTTTGGTATCCATGCACGTGTATCATGACAGGAATGCAACAGTGTAATTTGATAGGGGAATAGATTGTTGGCCATTTCTCAAGGGATTAAATTGCAAATAAGATGAAATTGTGCTTCAGCCCTTGATCAGACACCAAGTATTGGGGACAGCGTAAAGACTGTCTTTTTTTATTTTTATGTTTTGTAAAATGTGGGCTGAAATTAGATGTTTTAAAGGATTGCTGCATGTTTTGAAACACAAATACCTGAACATTGAAAACCAGCATCGTATTAACAGCTGTTCAAACAAGCAATAACAGAGGTGGTTCCAGACAAGTTGGAGCTGAGGGATTCACTGTACAGATGTAGCTGGGTGGCAACAAGAAATTGATTGCTCAATGGACAAGTGATCAGTTATCAATGACAAATGCCTTTTGCCTGCCAACAACCCTGTGATTGGTTCTCAGCTTAAGGCTGGGAACAAGATGGAGAAGTTTTTTTGATCTCCAGCACAGGAGCTATCCCTCTGTTCTCTGCAGTCAAAACCCTTTTCAAACCTGAAGAAAGCCAATTCATCATTCCTTCAGCAGCTGTCATAAGTTGAAACTTTCAATTTGTAAGTCAAAAGTCTTTTGTAAGCAAACTTAGCAACCTCATGTCTTTTGCAAGCCAGTGGAAACATGCAAAGAAAGGCAACTGAAAAACAACATTCTGACCATCATAAGGATCATCTCGTGATTAGGAACCACTGAACTGTCTCCCAGTTTTCCTCTCTCTCTCTCTCTCTCTCTCTGTGTATGTTTGAGAAGGCATAGAGAAAAGGAATTTATGAGGGGATTAATGTTTTAATTTGTGGTGTTATATGTCAGTGGTTTATAACTATTTACCTAAGCTAGAGTCTAATTACTTGCAATAAATAGTAACTCTTAAATATAAAACCCTGTCTGTGCTTTCTATCAACGTGGATCAGAGAATCAAGTAAATTGGGGAATATTATGTATCCATTTTAAAATCTTTAACGTTTGCGACAACTCCAGGAATAGCAGGTATTGATTTTCAGCATGCTATCCCAGTAAGTCATGATGAAAACGGGACCTCAAAAGCTATATTCAGCATGTAAGGTGGACAATGCAGATTTAAATAACCATGCTAAGTCTTAAAGGGTACATATTTAAGGCCATATCACACAACATTTGGCTTGTGCTGTCTATAAAAGATTGGAGAGTGATCTAATTAAGATATTAAAACTGACAAAGGAGTTTGTGGGCTAGATAAAGGAAACTTTCTTCCAGTGGAGGAATCCAGAACAAGAGGGTATAATCTTAAAATTAAAACTGGCCTACTTAGGAATATAACCAGGATATGTTTTACACAATGTTTAGTGGATATCTGAAACTTTCTCCCCTAAAAGGATAAAGCCAATATTTTCAAGATCAATTGATAGATTTTCATTAGGATATGAAGGCTTTGAAACAAAGATGTCTAAAATGACATCAGCTTCGTCCGCTCAGTCATGTTCTAAATGTATGATGCAACAGGTTTCAGGTGCTGAGTAATGCTCCTCCTGTTCCTGTGATTTTTGGTTCAGCTGCACATAGTCTCTGTAATTGTAATTCAGTATATTTTACCCATGTAAATAATAGGGCAGTTGGAAAGCCTGCTTTCAATCACTTGTGATGCAATTTAGGTATCGCTGATTAAAATCAGCGTTTGTCACCCATCCTGCCCAGAACAAAGGGTCATGGTCTCAGATTGGACTGAACAGTGGAAATTTTCTCCACTGAGATGGGTGAACCTGTGGAATTCTGTGTCACAGAAGGCTGTGGAGGTCAAGTCACTGAACATATATTAGCTTTCTAGAGACTAAAGGTGTTGAAGGGTATGGGGTAAGAGTAGAAGTGCAGAACTAATGTAGAGAATCAGCCATGATCATTTTGAAAGACAGAGTGGGCTTGATGGGCTGAATAGCCTACTCCTCCTGTTTTCTATGATGTAGCTCTAAGCTACTTGGGTGAGCTAACCAAGAACTAGGCTGTAATTATTCATATTTTTCCCACTTCTCCGCCCTACTTTTTTTAAAATGGATAAACATGTGGTCATTGTTTGACATCACCTGTTGCAGGAAAATTGAGTTTGGGAGCTCAGCAATGGATTGTTGATGTTCTTGAGGAACCAATTGCCAAAAAGTCATCAAAATATTTGTAAATATAACAGTGATGGCAATTGTCATTGTGTATGTTTCTGTCAGGTATTAAAACATCCATCTTGATATGTTAAAAAATAGAAACCTGCAAATAGTTTATCAGGTCTTTTCTGTCAGTTGTGTTGGAGTTATAACAGATAAATAAATGCTGCCTCTGTTTGACTTTAGATTCCCTCAAGATCCAAACACACCAGGCATTGATCGTCAGTTCATGTGGGGTGAGGCCCTTCTCATCACTCCAGTTTTGGAATCTAAAACAGTTGAGGTGTCTGGCTATTTTCCTGCAGCAACATGGTACAATCTATATAATGTAAGTGTTACATTATTCCAACTCAGTCTTGCAATGACTATAGTCTTGGGTTTGTGTACAACAGCTGTGCTTAATGCAACTTTATTTGTGCCTCTGCTTTATCTAAGATATAGTTCAGCTCAGATTGTACAGGTTTATGTAGTGGTCTCATCGCTCAAGTTTAGTTTGTGTGCTGAGCATTCACTATAGCAACCTAATCTTTATGCAAATTGTTTTGTTTATGTGGAATCTGAGGAGAGGCAGAAAGAGGCTTTAATGCAGTGTTGATCTTGTGAAGTACGGAACAGTTAAAAAGGGAATCACTGATGAGATTTTTCAATTCCATGAAGGGTCCAGATAAATATCCACTCCACTGAGAAAATTCATATATCATACATCACTAAACTCAACAGTTATTTCCAATGTACAGTGTGTATATGTGTAAAGCTATGAATTTGTCACAATTTTAGAACCCTCTCTAATCTTGCATATTTTGACATCTAGGGTTCTTCAATTCGTAGTAAGGGTCAGTATGTTACACTACAGGCGCCCTTGGATACAATAAATGTTCACGTACGAGGAGGCTGCATTGTGCCTATGCAGGTAAGTATACGCAAGTAACTTCAAAGAGGGTGAAATTTAACTTGTGGAGGAGCGCGAAACCGTTGGTAACAGATTAGCTACTCATTTGACATGCTGTTCAATTTTCCTTTTGCTTTCCTGCTGACTATTGAATTTTACCCTTGAGTTGTTTTGAATTGAAGGTGTATATAGAAAAACATTCAACTGTTATAGTTTTCACTGCAAGGCAGAGACATGTTTTGTCATGAGACATTGTGACACTGTCATATGCATTTGATCTGAGAACGATACATATCTACTGCACGCTGTGGCTTCTTGTGACAATCCATCAAATTTACATTGTGGAACAAATTAAATAAACTGGCATCAACAGAGAAAGAGTTGCAGGTGTACAAATTATCAATTTCTTTTTGTTGTCAGAAATGAAAAACTCTTTTGTGTAATAGTGGCTAATTGAAAGTTCAACTGGTCATAGTGTGGGCTGGTGGGACCATAATAGAATGTGCTAGACAATAATAGAATTCTACTGTACAGAAAATGACTGTTAGACACGTCATACTGTGCTGGCCACTTGAACGAGCTGACAAATTTTGTTCCACAGCGTGCTTATTCTCGCAAACCCTGCTAATTCCTCCTCTTCAGTTGTGTGTCCAGTTGCTTTAAATATTCGTATGGATTCTGATTTTTCTACCCTTTTTTTAGGTAGTGCTTTCCAGAACTTAAACTCAATGCATGAAAATCTTTGTCCTGGTTGCCCATCCAGTTTTTTTTCCCCCATTATTTTAAATTTGCAACTTCTATTCTTTTATCCTTTGCCTTTTTCTTCCCTTCTCCACAGCAATTGGGAATGGACAATAAATGCTGGCCTCACCAGTGTTACCCACATTTAGAGAACAGTTTTGTAAAAATAAAACTCTGGGCATCGTAACAAGGGCAGCATTTATCACCAATCCCTGCTAACTTATTGGCCAAAGGAAACGGTTTCTCCCAATTTGCGCGCTCTCACTATTTGCTAATTTTGAAATATCTGAGTCTCCTTGGCATCCTTCCTGAAGTGTAGTGCCCAGAATTATACACTATTTCAGCCCACTCCTATGCAGAGAACTGTGAAATCTTAATATGGCTTCTTTTGTTTATGTTTCATCTGCCCCTTTACACAAAGACAAGTAGCCCATATCAGTTCTTAACTGCCTTGCCTTGTTCTGCCACCTTCATAAAACTTGTCTGTTTGCTACCTAAGATCTGCTCTTGAACCCCCCCCTTTCAAAATATTATCATTAGATTATGATGCCTCTCCATTTTGTTTCTTCCAAACTACATCTTTATTTAACTGCATTAAATTGTCTGCCTTTTTCACTAGTCCATATTCTCAAGTCTGCTATTATGGTTAGTCTTAATTATTTTGTTGCCAAGTTCTGTATCATCCATAACTTTCTTAAACCCAAGTGTGGTACATTTATAAAAGTTAAAAAAGCAATGGTCCTAAAACAACTCACTAGAGAACCCCGTATTGCATATTTTCTAGTCAGGGAAACATCAGTTCACTGGTACAGTGACTGGTATCCCTTAAAACAATTTCATTCTTAATGTCCCTTTAGAATTAGGTACAGCTGCTTTCCAAATAATGGAGTCCTTTATCAAATGCCTTTTAAAGTTTAGCTGTGCAACATTTAGTGCACTATCTTAAGACTGCTGTTAATTAACCAAATAATTCAGTCAGATTAACCAGACATCATTTGTCTTTGAAACTGAAAGGTAAAAGGTCTTTTATGTATTCTTTTCATTTTTTCCCTAGACTCTCTACTGCCTGCATTTCTACTGCATTCTTTGCCCGTCATTGGTCATAAACTTTCATTTTTGGTGTTGTTTTGTTCATTTTATTTCCTTTGTCATCCAGGAACGTAACAGCCAATGCATGTTATATCAAAACTGTTATTTTTCTAAATTCGCTTCTTCTGACCAGGATTCAGAAGCAACCTGCTGTAAGCACTCTGATCTGAAAGTATTTATTTGTATTGTACATAAGAATTTGAGAAGAGCAGCACCAGTTCCAGTTGCTGTGAGTAACAGCCCTTTTAAAAACTTGACAACATGTCACTCATAATTGAGATTCATGTGGAAAGCTGAAAAGGAAAAAGTGCTCACTTTCCTATGCCTCATCCAACAAGCCATATTTTCCATGCTTTCCTTGGCCAGATTTTTTTCCTTGATCTGACAGCAACTTCTTCATAACTTCATTCCTGTCATTAACAGTATAAGGAAATATTCAGAAGTGACAACTTAGTACACATGTGTTTTCTTAATTCATATATGTACTATATCCAAGTGAGTGCTTGTTTCTCAATCTCTACCCTATCAAGGAACCCAACACTACAACTGCTGTCTCTCGTGGAAACCCATTTGGTCTGATGGTGGCACTCTCTGATCAGGGAATTGCTAGGGGGGATCTCTTCTGGGATGATGGTGATAGTCTGCTGAGTTATGAAAGTGGTGATTATACAGAAATTATCTTCCTGGCAAAAAATGTAAGTGTGGCTGATTTCAATCATTTCATTATTAGCCAGTTGTTAATGTCGGTTCTGAGGTTAAAATTCATCCATTTTCTGAATCAGCAAGTTTCTAATTCTTTGTTTGTACGTGAAATTTTAAACCCCTAAGGAAGAAAGATTGAGTCACCTATGTAAGGCACATGTACTATGGGTAAACCAGTACAAAAGATGCCTGAACTATTATACAACCAAATGCTGTGAGTGATAGAAATCTAATATAAAATTGGAAATGCTGGAAATATCAGATCTTACAGCATCTGGGGAGAAAGGAACAGTGAACTTTCAATTCAATGCCCTTTCATCAGAACTAAATGAATAAACTGTGATAGCAGCACTGCATCTTGTGCTGCATAAACAAAACATCAACAGTAGCCAGAAAGGTCGAAATTACTACTGCCCAGCTCTTCAGCTAAAAGGGGAACACTTGTGATCGGAACTTTCAAAGGCAATCCTGAGAACGAAATTTACTTTAAATGAATGTAAAACTCGCAAGTTAGAGCTAACCCATATAGATTTCCCAGATCCTAATATGTAATTAAACAGGTATTCTTGGGATATTTCCTTTTGCAACATTTTAAATTAATTTTGGATTTTTTAAATGCAGAAGTGTAAAGAATGGTTGTAATTATAATGCAACATTTTTCTAAAAAATGACAGTTGCAATATTTACATCCTTTTCACTAGGTTGCAGTGCTTACTATTTATATGCTGCCATCACTTAAGAAGTTAACAAAGTTAGGAGGACATTTGATTTCAATGTTGTATCTACATCAGCTGTTTCTTTCCTCCTCCTCTTCTCCTCCCCACCCCCACTCCCCTTAGAATATACTGTTCAGTGAAATAATCCATCTGAACAGCCAGATTGATGGCCTGAAACTGAGCAGCATCTTTGTCTTTGGACTTCCATCTCCCCCACGGAAAGTTTCTGTTAATGGATTCTGGATCACAGACTTCTCCTACAGAACAGACACACAGGTGAGGATGTGAGCTCTATCTAAATGGCATTTGAAACATCTTTATAAACACAAATTAAATGTGCTTTCAGATTTCAAAAGCGTTTGGAAATATTTCTCTTACTATTAACTTTGTTGTTCTTCCTGCTGATGTATGGTGTCATGTGTTGTGAAACTTCATAGCATGCTACCCAAATTCCCATCATGATACATTACCTATGATAGAGAATTTTGGCAGATTGTATGCTTCTGGGAGAATCACTGTGAGCTTGACTTCATCCTACACAGGGATCTCTGGATAGTGACCTGAAGGGAAACTCCTGATCAGTTTAAATTTTCTAACTTTGGGTTGCAGCCCTACATTTCCCCAACTGTGATAAGTTACCTTGTCTATAGAAGGGTAAAATGGAGGTAAATTTGAGATCTACATTGACTGTATGATTTGTCTGTTTCAGTGTCCTAACTGACTATTGAAAGGAGTTGAATTAAAGTTCCATAGTACATCAGCTGCCATCTACAACAAATATTTTTTCAAATTACCTATAATACACAAGATTGCACTGACATATTGTTGTGGTCTGTTCATCTCTGGTATCTGATTTTCCTTGTTCATTTCAGGTGCTGACTTTGCAGAATCTGTCTGTTCTTGTGGGAGAGCCATTTACAATTACATGGATCTGAAGAAAGTGATGTAAAATCTGTTACCAAGAAAGCCTTCAGAACATAATAGATTATGCTCATAAAACAGTGGTAAAGAAGGGATATGGATTCTAGTTATTAACTTGACAAAAAGTGCCGTATATCATTTGAAATTCAGTTAATGATGAAGAGAAAGTCTTTTGTGCTTGAACAGAAATCTGATTAAACTGTGTTGAATATTTTGGATGGATGGAGGTATGGGATGGGGAAGGGCTTGAAGGCTAGTGTTCTTCTTTGAAGAACAGTGACAATCACAAAGGTACTCTGAAGTGTTACAACTATGTGGAAAGGCCCACTCTGTTAACTGCCTTCAACAGACTCATTGACCCATTTGCACCACAGCTGTTTTTGCTGTTGTCTCTTGCACAGTCACAAGGATAGCTGTTTTCTTTACCCACTCTGATGATTCCCTGAATGCCTTGGGAAAAATGTCAATAGATCTGGAGACTATTTCTTAATGTTTCAGCGTTACTAGCCACTACTATTCAATTAGCTTTTCTTAATTTTTGGACCTCCATGATACTTTATGCAAAGGATTTTATCTGAGTTGGTTGATCATATTCAATTGGTAATAATTTTCTGAAAGCAGGGGGATTGGTGGCAGTTTTTACTTGCAGATATTTTTGATCAGGTTTTTAGTGGAGTTATTTGTTAAAATTAATGGTGCTTCTTTGGTTGTAACTATGCAATTAGTTGCATGCTATATTGAATTTTTTGGGTTTTTAAATTATCAAATAATAACTACAAACCAATCCTATTACATAACAGGAATCACTCTTCAGTGTAATTTGTGGTAATTTGGAAAATTTCTAGCAAACAGGATGGCTTGTTATAGAAGTGAAAATTCTGTTTGGAAGTTATTCATTGAGAGATCATTGTTGATAAGACAAATTCACTGAATCATCAATAACTAGCAAAACAGAAAGCAATGCAGGAAATCAAAATTATTTTACTTGCCAATTATGACCTGTAATGCATTGCCTTGAGAGGAGAATGGAAGCAATTTCACTGGTAAGGTTCAAGAAGGAATAAAATCAAAGTTGCTGGAAAAGCTCAGCAGGTCTGGCAGCATCTATGAAGGAGAAAAGAGTTAACGTTTCGGGTCCGGTGACCTGGACACTGGACCCGAACCGTTAACTCTGTTTCTTCCTTCACCGATGCTGACAGACCTGCTGATCTTTTCCAGCAAATTTGTTTTCGTTCCTGATTTACAGCATCCACAGTTCTTTTGGTTTTTATTAGGTTCAAGAAGGAATTGGATACCTGTTTGAAAGGGAAGCATTTTATAGGGGGCTGAGGGACTAATTGGTAATTAATTACGAAATTCAACAGATATGACAGGCTGAATGATGCTATGCTCAAGATTCAATGCTGAGAGTGAATCTAACCATTACCAATGCAAACAATCGCTTCAGTTCTATGTGAAAGAAGAAACTTTGTTGCATTATGCACTCCTACTGAATTATTACCTTTTTGAAAGTTGAATGCATGCATTTACAACTTCACATGAGAGTATGTTATTGCATTTATGGCTGTTTGTGCTCATTTTGGAACCGCACACCATTTGGAGGGTAGGTATAATTCAACAAGTTCTATAGAGTCAGGATGCTATTTGCAGCTTAGCATTATTTGCTGCATTTTACAGTTTACAGGGGAAATAAGAAATTTGTACAATTTTTGAAACCACTTGATCAGCACCCTGGTTTGAAAAGAAAAGTGATCTTTTTACAGCAGCGAACTGCTTCCTGATCAAGATTCTGGTGTATATAGGCAGAAAGAGCCTCCACGGTGAGTTACAAACTAGCATAATGTGTAAATAATAAACTGTTTTCCTTAACCCATATGATGTTGTTGGGAGTGAAGTATTTTACATTTAAAGAACTTATGTCGAAGCTGTTAGATTTTTAATGGCACAACAAAATCATCCACTGTACTTTTTGTCGTAAGTGCCTATTTAAAAACTATAAATACTTGAGTTTTGTGAGTTCTTAACATTCTATAAAAATAAAAATTTATTTTAATATTGGAGATGGTCAGAATTGCACAAATTAAATTCATTATTTTGTGTTTCTTTTTAAATAAATATAGTGCTGCCTCCATTCATTCTTTCAGAAAAATTCCACCAATAGATCATTGTGAAATGCTGTTATCTCTCCTTAGCAACTGTTTAGTTGCATCATCAGAATTTGCAACTTCCTGTCGTTCCTAACTCTCTTCGACCTTTCTGCAGCCTTTGATACTGCGGACCGCACCAACCTCTTCCAAAACATCTGCGTCGCCATCAAGATGATTTGATTCCCACTCACCTGGCTGTGTTCTTTCCAGTTGTAGGCAGAACATTATCAACATGGCTTAGGTTCCTGCTCTGAAAACATTATCACGAGTATTCCTTTTGAGGATCTATTCTTGGCTCCCTGTCGTTTTTCATTTACACGTTGCCTCTTTGTGGCATCATTCAAAAGCACAGTATTAGTTTCCACATTATGCTGACATTACCTAGCCCTACCTCACGACAGTACCTCTCAACCCCTTCACTGTTGGAGCAGACCAGTTTAATTATCAGGAAGACTGTAGCATTGTATTCAATCTCCAGTCCCTAGCCAATTGCTCCAACCTTCTCCCTGGCAATGCTGTCAGCTGAACCAGACTGTTGGAAACCTTGGTGTCATACTAAGACTGCTATTTTCACCTTCTTAACATATCTAACTATGTCTCTGCCTCAGCTCATTGGCCAATGAAATTCTCATTTATGCTTTGTCACCTCTGGACCTGACTACTGTAATAGAGTGCTGGCCAGACTCCATATTTTATTCTGTGAACATTAGGTAATCTAAAATTCTTCTGCTCATGTTCTAATTCACACATCACCTTCCAGCTATTACCCCAGTACCCGGTTTTAATTTGTTAAACTTAATTTTTTAACCATCCTGCAAGTCTATTTCCATTTACACCGATATATAAATGCAAGTTGTTGCTGTCAATCCATCTTCCTTAATAGAAGTCCGTTACAAAATAGTCAAGATTTTGAAACCAAAAGATTTTGTACTGTATTTTTTTATGTTTTGCAAAGGAGCAGGGGCAGGCCATTCAGTCCAGCAAGCCTGCCCTGCCATTCAAAATTATCATTGCTGATTGAACACTTCAGTGACATTACCCACTCTATCCCCCTAATCCTGTGTGCCACTAGTAATCAGAAATGTATCAATCTTTAATCATACTCCCAGACTGAAGATTCACCATCCTGTGGTAGAGAATTCCAAAGTTCACAGCCCTATGAATAAAAAAGATTTCTCCTCATCCTGGGCCAAAGTGACATTGCCCTTATTTTTAAATTGTTCCCCAGTTGTAGACTCTCTAACCAGTGGAAACATCTTACTTTCCTCCATCCTGTCTACCTCTCTTTGTAGGTTTCAATAAGATCACATCTTATTCTCTAGGGTATTGAAGAATACCAAGTCCAGTTTGTCCAATCTATCTTTGGACAGTTCGACCATCCCAGGATCAACTCTGGTGAACATATGCACTTCCTCCAATAATATCTTTCCTGAGGTAAAGAGACCAAAACTACATGCTTTACTCCATATGCAGCCTAACCATGTTCCACTGAAATTGAAGCAAGACTTCTGTACCCAGATCCTCTTGCGATAATGGTAAATATTCCATTAGCCCTCTTAACAGCTTGCTGTATGTAAGCCTTCAGTGACTTCTTGACAAGGACACCCCAAGACCCTTTTGCACATCTGCACTTTCCAACCTCACACTGTTTAAATCGGTAAAAACTGCAGCACCAAGGGATTTTGGGTTTGTGCATGAATTGCAACAAGTTGGCATCAAATCCAAGGGGTAATGAGGAAGGCCCCATCTGTTGGCTTAATCTCAAAGTTTTAAAGTAGAGAGGTCCTGCTAGAAATATTCAAGGCACTAGTCGCACCTGGAATGCTGTCAGCTTTGATCCCTTTTTATCTAAGGAGAGGTAGTGGAGGCAGTCCAAAGAAAGTTTCCATAGAATCCCTACACTGTGGAAACAGGCCAAGCGGCCCCAAGAGTCCACACTGACCTTCCAAAGAACATCCTGCACAGACACATCCCCTACCCTATCTCTGTAACCCTGCATTTCCCATGGTTAACTCACCTAACCTACACATCCCTGAACACTGTGGGTAATCTAGCATGGCTAATCCATTTAACTTGCACATCTTTGGACTGTGCTAGGAAACTGGAGTACGTGGTAGAAACCCACGAAGACACGGGCAGAATATTTGTGTGGAGTTTGCACAGTTGCCTGAGGGTGGAATCGACCCTAGATACCCTGGTGCTGTGAGGCAGCAGTGCTAACCGTTGTGCCATCCACCAGGCTATGTTGATCCTGAATATGGAGGTATTTTCCTGTGAGGAGATGTTGCGTACATTGAGTTTGTACTAATTAGAGTTTAGAAGAATGACAGGAGACCTTACTGAAACATACAATTATTTTAGGGGGCTTGACGAGCTAAAACTGGAGAAGTTGTTTGCCATTGTCGGAAAGGGAATAATCTTAGAGTAAGGAATTGTTTTCTGAGAATAGTTAATCTGTAAAATTCTTTATCATAGAGGGCTGCTGAGGCTTGTGCCTTCCATTACAAGTAGATGCACACTAGGCTGAGCAAGAGCCTCAGCAGGGTGGGGACTGACTCTGACTCGGATTCTGTGCTTGCTGTTTGAATGCTTGCTCATCAGTGTTACCTATTAATAGTTACACCTTGAACCAATGTCCAAATGATCAAAATACTGTATTTATCTTGGGCATCTCAAACTTACAGTCAGCATTTGTTTTTATCTTTGGTTCCCTTTTTTGTTTTGAATAATGAATGTATTGCTCCCAAGGTTTCTGTTAGGACTACAATAATTCTATGAATAATGCTTAATTGATATCATATTCCTGAGCAATTTAAAACAGGTTAATAAACAACAAAACACCCTTAACTTGAGAGAGGAGGAAGGAAAGATGCAGGAGTTGTAGTCAGAGAAACTGACAAAATTATTAAGACAGCATTATTCAAAATTATGAGAGATTTAAAGTAATCTAAGAAAGCTGGGATTTGTTATCCTGACAAGTGCATGCCTTGAAACAATACGAATCTTTAAATCCCTACTAAAATCATTCCTGTGTGAGGAATTTCAAGTTTTACCTGTGTAAGGCTGGGAAGCCTCGCTCCATTTTCTTCCAGTAACCCATTTCAAGCAAAATTGATAGTTTAGGATTACATTGCATCTGAGGTAGAGTGAGTGAATTGACTCTTGCCAAATCATCAAGGAAAACACCAGGGCACTAGTCATGCACTGGATATATTTTTTTGGTTATAGGTCACAAGGTGGGTACATAACCATTGATTACAGTTTGTGTCTAATGGGTGTTATGTGGCAGTTAATCAACTAATCCTAAATGACTGTATTCTTCACTAAATGTGCAGTAAAGCTTGCTCAGGCATTTCAGTACATCACTGAATCAGAGCTAATACTATCGCTGCTGAATGTTTTTAACAGCAGTGACCAGATAAGTTAACAGCCTTTAACAAGTTTGCATGACCTTGGTCTTTACACGCTTATTGATCCCAAACTCTGCATAGAAACAGACTTGGAAGGAGAGCAGACTAGAGATAAAGTTACCACATTCTTAAAATAATTCTGTGTTGCATCATGCGTGTGCAGTTTGTGGAGTGTTCTGAATCCTTTTCTCCTTCTGATATGCAGGTATTAGCTTCTGAAATGTTGAGTCAAGTTATCTAGTTCACTTGGGATCTTCAGTTTTGACTGAACATGCCTTGCACAGGAGTAGCAATGTCAAAATCTACTTTTAACTCACCTTTCAGGCTACTTGCAATTAAGTGATACACTTAGAAAATCATGGTTATTGTAGCCAGGCTGCAGATTCTTACACCTCAATTATGGCACCCTCCACTTAAAAGCTTCTTTTACTGATAAGAAAATCACACACAAATGCTATCATTCAGAAGAATAGTGAAAATAAGAATTTTGTGATGAACATAGATTAAGAAAGATTATTATTTCTGTGTGATCTGTGTTTCTGAAGCACTTTCCAGTTTTTGTTTTAACCATCTTCAATTAATGCTAACACATATATGTCCAAATGTGTCACCTCTAATTTTACACCTTAACCTCTACCCTTGACCCTTACCTTTATAAGGAACCCACATAAATATGGAGAGATATGAACTAGTTGAAGTACAAGGTACTGCTTCCCTGATTTGAGCCAGAGATAATGATTTTGCAACTTAATTGGTTATAGGCCTGCAGTAACTAGCATGTCATACCTGTCATTTTAAAACCTGGGCCACTTCCAGGCTGTTTACATAGTATTTTTCTTGTGAATCTCAGAGGTGACCTTGGGCTCATCTTCAAGGCAGTATTCCTCAAATAAGGATAGTGACTTTGAAGTTCATTTCCCTGAGTAGTGGGAGCCAGTAAAGCTTGGTGAAGTTGTGTGTGGGCCTTTATGCAAAAGTCTAAAGTGAATTAAGATGAAGGAGAAACATTAGCAAGCATGAAACATGGATTATCATTCAATGACAGTGAAAATATATTAAGATGGAAGAGCAGAGTTTTGGCTCAGATCCATTTGACAGGAAACAGTTTGACATGGAACTAAATGTGCTAATAAATGGATTCTTCCAAAGTTGGCAGCAGGAGAAATTGATAGACTCAGAACCTGAGAGGCACAAGCAAATTAAAATTGAAAAGATAGACTTTGAACTGCAGGAACTTTAAACATATTCAGGGCAGGTGACATCATCTCCAGAGTTAATGTCAGCAGCAGAAAGGTACAGAGATAGTTTCAGTAGGGGATTACTTTGGGAATAGTGATCACAATTCCGTAAGTTTTACAATACTCATGGACAAAGACGAGAGTGGTCCTAAAGGAAGAGTGCTAAATTGGGGAAAGGCCAACTATAGCAAAATTTGGCAAGAGCTGGGGAATGTGGATTGGGAGCAGCTGTTTGAGGGTAAATCCACATTTGATATGTGGGAGG